TTACGTCTGGGACTGCCAAGCTCACGTGTGCAATTCTCGCGTAAACAAGCTCACTGCCCGCATTGTCCCTTGTGTCTTTCTTGGCTTCCCCCTGGACACGTCTGACTGGCACTTCTACCACCCGCCGTCTCACCGTTTCTTTTACTCACGTAACGTCACCTTCGACGAGTCTGTCCCCTTCTACAACCGCTTCCCTCACCGAGGTCTCCCCGTCAACCCACCCCTATTCCTTGTCCCCACTCCCCCGGTAGCTCCCGCTCCCCGTCATGCCCCGTCTGCTGTGTCTCATATCACTCCCCTTCCCTTGGTTGCCCCAGCAGAGGAGTCTGCTGACTCAGGGGGCCCTGCTGCTCGGGGTCCGTCACCCATCTCTGTGGAGCTTGCGCCCTCCACCCCAGTGTCTCCTCCGTTGCCGCAGCAGGAGCAGCAGCCGCCACCGCAGCCGCTGTCGCCGCCGCCGCAGCAGCAGCAGCCACCGCTGCCGCCAAGGTCCACGAGCTCTGGGGGTGCTGGGGGTGCGGGCGCTGAGGAGGTTGCTGGAACAGGGGGTGCTGGTTCTGTGGGTGCTAGTCCTGGGGGTACTGTCGTCGCTCATCCCGGCGGTCCTGGGGGTGGCGCGGGTGCTGGAGAGGGTTCTAGTTCTGGGGGTGCTTGTCCTGGGGGTGTGGTCGTGGAGAGTCTCGGGGGTAGCTGTGGTGCGGCTAGAGGTTCTTGTGTGGGCGCGGAGCCGCAGCAGTAGCAGTTGCCACAGGTGTTTTCTCTTCGCCGCCTTGGTCTTCCCTCCCCCGACCGCCCGCCTGCGCCTCCCCCGGTGCCGCCTCCTCTGCAATCTACGGCCCTATGTTTCCTCCGTTGGACTTGTCCCCGACTTGTTTCCCCCCTCGTTCTCCCCTTGTGTCTCTTCCTGTGTCTCCTGACCCGACGCCTCCCTCCCACTTCTTGTCTTGCCGTCCTTCTCGTGCTCGCCTGGTCTCCCCTGTTCAGCATTCTCACTTATGTTGCTCCGTTCTCACGCGTTTCGCGCTCCGCCTGCCCCTCCTCTCCCATCGCCTCAATCCTTTCTTGTTGTCGCTCCGCCTCCTTTCTCTAACTTCCTCCATGTTGCACGCCCTCTTGTTCCTCGTGTCCTCATCTAAGTTCACTTCAAAGAAAAAAGCAGCCTCTCTTGTCACCGACCCATCCATTCCTATCTCCAATCTTGGCACTCTTGTCGCTGCTGACATTGACATTGCCTCTACTCGCCGCCTTGACTACGCCACAACTCTGGTCTCTGACCATGCCTGTCCTCCGTCCGTCGGTGGTGCACCTGCCCTTGGCAATGACGTTCTAGAGGATAGGCAATACAAGCTAGCTTTCCTGTACGACGCCGCTCCTCATCTCTGCTCCATGCTGCTAGCCCCTAAGGGTGACCCAGATGCTCTAAACATCCCGATCCCTCGCACCTACACTAAGGCGACCTCGGGACCCTGGGCCTCTCAGTGGATAGCTACCATGGACGCGGAGATGGCATCTTGGCGATCCACCGGCACCTACGTCGATGCAGTTCCCCCACCTTGGGTAATCATAGTTGATGGCTGGTGGCTATTTAAAGTGAAGCGCTCTCCTGGAGAGCCGCCGGTGTTCAAGGCGCGCTACTTTGCTAGAGGCTTCAGTCAGCGCGAGGATGTTGACTTCTTCCAGATCTTCGCCCGGGCCCCGAAGATGACCACTCTTCGAGCGCTGCTTTACATAGTAGCACAGCGCGAATACGAGCTGCACCACCTCGACTTCTCCACAACGTTTCTCCAGGGCAGTCTGCACGAGAAGGTCTACCGACGTCGTCCGCTAGTTTTCTCTGGCACTTAACCTCATGGGACTGAATGGCTCCTCCGGCGGCCGGCTTACGGTCTGAGCCAGGCACCCCGTGAGTGGCACGACACGCTGCGTGCTACGTTAACAGACCTGCAATTCTTCTCGTCCTCAGCTGACCCTTCCCTGTTCGTTCGCTCAGGCCAGACTCCGTTCAACATCCGAGTCTACGTAGACGACCTGGTCTTCACTACTGCAGACAGATATGCACTGGCCTCCATGAAGGCTGAGCTGCTGAGGAGACACACCAACAATGACTTAAGAGACCTGTGCCGCTACCTTGGGCTGCAGATCTCCAGGGACAGAGCGGCGTACACCATCACTCTCACACAGTCACACTTGGTGCACCAGGTCCTTCAGAGGTTCGGTCTTCACTTCTCCTCCGCAAAGCCTACACCTCTGCCAATAGATCACATGCTCTTGGTTCCTGAGAGAGTACGACCCCGTTACACCACTTGGCCTTTCCTTGTTTCCTTCCTATTTCATTTCTCTTTTTATCTCATCTCATTTGGTTTCCCCTTTTCCATTTTCCATTAACCTTTGGTTTATCCTGCTACTATAATTATATCACCGACCAGGCTTGGGATGTACTGGTGCGCTATATCTAGCGTAATCTTGCCGTAATCCCTTAAAGCCAATAGCCTCGCGTGGCTATATGCAGTGTGATTCTATCTTCTAGAAGGGTCTTTTCCCTTGGGATAAGATAAACCTGGTTACCTGATGTACTCTGGAAGTATAAAAGCGCCTTGTACTGATCGATAGTGCAATCTTTCCTCGACACATTCGATCCTGTGACACTTGGTATCAGAGCTTTTCTCACTCGGCCGCGCTCAACAAAGCAGCAGCAGGGGGAAAACCTGCCTTGAAATACCGCCGGGGGCGACCAATTCGACGCCGATTCTGGTAAGCACCAACTCCGCGTTTTTTCGAATCACCCCCCCCCGCGTGTGTATTGAACAGGATGGCAACCTTCGACAATGCCGAGGTTACCCAACAGCTCTTAGCACGCATCGCAGCCCTTCATGAGGAGATGCGAGCGGATCGCGAAGCGTGGCGAAACGAGTTCGAGCGAGTAACTCGACTCGCCGGAGCGCAGCACGACTCGACAACGGCGACGACGCAGCAGTCGCAGCAGTTTCTCGAGGCTCCGAAACCGCGCCCACCTGAGCTGTTCAATCCGAGCGATCAAAACTCCGACGCCCGCAGATGGATCGCCGGGATGGAGATCTACTTCGCAGCCGTCGGATGGAGCTCGCCAGTATGGGACGATCAACGTGTACGACTTGCGGCGACACTGATGCGAGGGCCGGCACTCGAGTGGATTGGTGGCAACAGCACCTTCATCCACGGTGAAGCCACGTGGCAGCAGTTCCGCGCCGACCTGCTGAAACGATTCGAGCCGATAAATTCAGGTTTCCTTGCCCGGGAAAAAAATCATCAACACCGACAGTTCGGGAGTGTAGCGCAGTACACGCAGCAGATGGAGGAATTTATAACCGCATTCCCGACCTGACCGAAGGGGAAAAAGTACAGTCGTACCTCGCCGGGCTGAAGACCGAAGTCAAACGACAAGTGGCAGCGTCAAACTACGCGAGCTACAGTGACGTCGTTTTGGCAGCGGAGCGCTTCGATATGGTCAACGCCGGGACACGACGGACGCACGTCGGCAGTACGCGACAGGGCGACCGCTCGGCTCACCCCACGTTCGCTGACCCGATGGAAGTCGACTGATTCGAGGGGCGGCCACGTCCTAAAAACACCAACTACACGTGTGATTTTTGCGGGGTGCCGGGTCATCGAATCTTCGACTGCAACAAAATGAAAGCCGCACGCGCTGAGTATCAGGCACGCAACAGTGGCAGAATTCCTTTGGCCAATCAGAAGACAAAAAACGGGAGTCGCCAGTGTTTGTGAATCTAGCTGGTGAAAATAAAAAGATCCGGAAACGGCCGCTGGATTCCGGAAAAATCAACTTCGACGAAGCTGATTCGACGCGAGAAGGAGGAAATGATGGGGGAAGATCTCTACCCCACGACCAGTCTTCGCCAGGGAAAATCACCGAGAAAAATACGACTCCGCGAAAAAAGACTCTGCCGAGACGGAGAAACTCCTTGAAGACCCATGAAATTACAAGGATTCGTTAAAGCTATCCTATAAAGATGCTATAATGAAAAATTATGATTTTCGAGGGGCTAGAGCCTTGGAGAAAATTCGGGAAGGACTCCAAAAGAAGCAGACAGCTGTGGAGATTATACCGGTACCGGACAACTTGGGGAAAAAATGAAGGAGTGTGGAAAGAAGCCGACCTTTCCACGGAGTCAACGTCCCCTCCCGACACCAGCCCACAACGACTACCCGTTCCCCAGGTAAGACGTCAGTGGAGCTGAAGCAGCTCAAGAGGAAGCTGGGGGTCTACAAGAAGCTGCAGAAACCCCAAAATCCTCCTCCGGATGCATCGAGTTCAGCAACTTCGGCATCAACGACGCGCACAGTCGTCAAAGAAACTTCGGGCCCTGGAGAAGAGCCGTTCTCCAAGCAGCCTCGGCCAGCTGCCAGCCTAGGAGTAGATAGCAACGAAAAGGTGTGTACGGAATATTGGGATGTACCCTATGACCCAATCAATGAAACTGTCTTTGGGTACTCCGAGCAATGCCTGCCCCTCGTGCTCGAGGTCATCTGCAAAGGACGACGCCTCCAAGCACTCGTGGACAGCGGAGCATCGCACACCGTCTGCGACAAGGCAGTAATCGACCGACTTCAGGAAGAGTACAAGCCTTCAGGATTCTCTGCAACGATGGTGGACGGCAGCAAGTTACCAGTACATGGCGAAGCAGTGCTACACCTACAAATTGGACCACTGCGCTGGAGACCTGCACTCCCATTCACCAACATCAAAGGGCTTGACTTGTTCTTCGGGCGAGACTTCCTAAAAATATTCAACCCCGAGATCAACTGGGTGAATCGCACCGCAAGTATCTACAACAATGGACGGAGAGTTCAGCTACCCAATTGGGACGATACAGGAGATATCCCAGTGGAGACACTCGCACGCTTCGAGAAGGACGTGAAGCGAACCGACACCAGGTTCCTGGCGATAGCAACAGAGGTGGAAATCGATAGGGAAAAAACCTCGGAACCTCTAGGAAAAATCAAGGAATTGTTGACGGAGTTTCAAGACATTCTCCCTGACGATCTTCCGAACGAGCTACCTCCATACCGCACACATCAACAGGAGATCGTGGAGGAACCGGGTTCGAAGCCGACCTTCCGAGCACCATATCGACTCAGCCCTACGGAGCTGACCGACATGAAAAAACAGATCGAGTATCTCCTAGCCAAAGGACCATCTACTTCGCCATACGGTGCCCCAATGCTCTTCACACCGAAACCGGACGGAAGCCTGCGCATGTGCATCGACTACCGAGCTCTTAACAAGCAAACCATCAAGAATAAATATCCGATACCATGAATCGATGACCTGCTTGACCAGCTTCGGGGAGCTACGGTATTCTCCAAATTGGATCTGCGGTCCGGATACTGGCAGATACGGATGGCGGACAACTCTATCCACAAAACTGCTTTCCGAACTCGGTATGGATCGTACGAGAATTTGGTAATGCCATTCGGACTCACCAACGCACCAGCAACATTCCAAGCCGAAATGAACCACATTCTACGACCACTTTTGGACGAGTGCGTGGTGGTGTACCTGGACAACATCCTCATCTACTCGCGCGACATGAAGCAGCACGTCAAACACCTGCGACGCGTCTTCGAAATTCTTCGACGAGAACGATTCTACGTCAAACTGTCCAAGAGCGAATTCGCCCTTGAGAAGGTCTAGTTCCTAGAACACATGGTGAGCACTCAAGGAGTTCACGTCGACCCCAAAAAAATCAAAGCCGTACATACGTGGAAGACACCCGAGAACGTGAAGGAGTTGCAGCAGTTCCTAGGCTCGCTAATTACTACAACAGGTTCGTGCCACAGTATGCGAAACTCGCAGCACCATTCACGAATCTGCTGAAAAAGAACACGCCCTACAAATGGGAGCCAAAGCACCAGGAAGCCTTGGAGCAGCTGAAGCAAGCACTTACGTCCGCACCAGTACTCATCTGCCAGATCCCGAACGCGACTACGTCATCGAAGCTGACGCCAGTGACCAGGCAGTGGGAGCAGTCTTGATGCAAGACCAAGGAAATGGACTGCAACCAATCGCCTACCTCAGCAAGAAACTACACGGGGCAGAACTAAACTACCCGATACACGTCAAAGAGGCCTTGCCATCGTCGTCACCTTCAAAGCATGGAGATGTTACCTCGAAGGACGAAGAACAACCGTCTACACCGACCACTGCAGCCTGAAATATTTGGAGACACAACCCAACCTTTCCAGGCGGCAGGTCCGGTGGATCGACTTTCTCGGGACACACTTCCACTACGACATCGTGTACAAGCCCAACCACAAAAACAAAGCAGACGCCCTCAGCCGGCCTGCACACGTTGCCGCTATTCAGATCGAAGGGATGAATCAACTCCTCAAGGGACTCTTCACACACGGGTACCCCATCAACCCCGAAATTCCCTTGGCAGAAAAGCGACATCGGCTACAGTGGGACAGTGACATC